CATCCTTTATTTTCAACCTTAGGCATACACGACTTTCTGGCGAAAGTGAATCTAGCAGCCAGTGTGAAATGCGCTAGTCTGTACTACTGTCCTCTCATTCTGCATCAGTACAAATACGTGCAGGCATTGCGCATGTTTGCTTGCTTGAGGGTTTCTGCATTATATGAGTGGCTTTGGAAAATAAATCGCTGCACGTTTCAGATGAAAAAAACGCGACTTCTGTTTATGAAAATATCACAGTTAGGAGATTTATAGCGAGTGGTTCCCTGCATTTTTACAGCAAATCGCGTGATTACAGTACTAAGCCGCTGGAGCAGCTTTAATGCTATTAAATTAAAGATGTAGGTTACCATAGAGAGAAAAAAAATGAACAGTGGAAGTAACACAAACTTGTAAAATACATTTTAATGAGCATAATTAAGTGTGAAAATAACAGGATATACAGTCAAACCAAAAATTATTCAGAGACCAGATATAATTTTTGATATTTTTTTTACTAGTGGGTGTAGGACACTATAGTTCATTTATGTAAAGCGAGGATAGCAAAATAAACTAAACTGTGATATATTATACCCAGTAAAATTGATACAAATTTGGGACCAAAAATTATTCAGACCGAGTCTGGGGAAAAAAATTGAAGTTCAGGTTTGCATGAACCTGGTTGACAGCATGCCCAGGAGACTATATTATGTCATTAAGGCTAAGGGTCACCCGACAAAGTATTGATAGTTGTATAAATATTGACAGCTGTATGAATAATTTTTGGTTTATTGTAATCCATTACATACCTTTCTATCAAAGTTATCTGACATTATCAAGCTAAATTTGTTCAGACACAGTTTAACTCTGAGTTCTTGTCATATTTTATTACCATTTTCTAAACTATAGTAAATAAACTGTGATAATGTGAGAAATGTTGTAGGTGTCTGAATAAATTTTTGTTTGACCGCATCTATTTGATAAGTGAAGTTAACCAACTAACATTATACATACTCTTTTGGTTTCTGTACCAAATATTTAAAAAATGTATCGGGCGAGTACTGGAAAAAGTGGTATCCCTAGTTTGTAAAGTTGAAACATTCTAAACGCTGTCAATTCTCATAGCTGAGGTGAAGCGTGTTGGAGACACTGTTCTTGGCATGGCCACGCAGTGTGTCCAGGTGAAGAATGTACAGAAGACCACACCTCAGACCCTTTCCAACCTCTGTCTCAAGATTAATGTCAAACTGGGTGGAGTCAACAACATTCTTCTTCCACAGGGCAGGTAAGGGCAGCTTTTTCAAAAGCCTTTGACGTGCAGAAAGCTTAAGGCACTTTTCTGATTCAGGTTTGTTAATGCCTGGGCTGCTTTCCCATGAAATTTGACCGGAAAGTACAGCTATCGCTGAACTTTTCTGCATTGCTTTATCACTGTTTTTGTCTTTAGGCCCTTAGTGTTTCAGCAACCAGTCATCTTTCTGGGTGCAGATGTGACTCATCCACCAGCTGGAGATGGCAAGAAACCTTCAATTGCTGCTGTAAGCCTGACAAGCCTCTGATATTTTAAGGCTGATTATGTTAATTGCATAGTGCCAAGTAGCACTAATACCACAAGTGTGACCAGTCTACTACTTGTACACAGTTTTAAGCCATATCATATAATCTCAAAAGTCTTTAATAAGGCTTTTAACATCTCAGAGCTAGGGGGCCCTCTAAATAATAATAATAATATTTATATTAGTTATGTGTAAGTTTATATAGGTTGTAAAGCTATAGATATATGTTTTGCTTATATAGGTTATATCATAGGTATATGAAGATCTGTATAGGATATATGTTTAGATACCTTTTTATGTTTTGTGTACATGCCCCGCTGATTACAGAACCGGCTTTACTGATAAGATGCGCGTTAAATATCGCATGCGATTTATCGTGTAGCCCTAATGCCCATGTTTGTTCATATGTTTACCTGAGTAGCACCGTGGACCTGTGAGGCATGATGACATTTCATCCATCTGTATGTCTCCACATATGGCAGAATGATAATAAAGCTCACTTGACTTGACTTGACTTGATAATAAAAAAGCGAATTGTTTTTTTTATATATAATATTTAGGTTGTTGGCAGTATGGATGCCCACCCAAGCCGATACTGTGCCACGGTGCGGGTGCAGCAGCACCGTCAGGACATCATTCAGGATCTGGCCACCATGGTGAGAGAGCTGCTGATCCAGTTCTACAAATCCACACGCTTTAAACCAACGCGCATCATCTACTACAGAGACGGCATTTCAGAGGGCCAGTTCAACCAGGTAGTTTGCAGGCATGCACTTTTTTTTTTGCCAACGCTTGCTGACTGGTGCTAACTCATTTCATTTAATTTTCAGTCTCCTGTTTTGTCTATGCAGGTTCTACAGCATGAACTGCTGGCTATTCGTGAGGCCTGCATCAAGCTGGAGAAAGATTATCAACCAGGCATCACCTTCGTAGTAGTGCAGAAGAGACACCACACCAGGCTCTTCTGCATGGACAGGAATGAGCGGGTTGGTTAATGCACAGGATTTTATCGCTATCCACCTTATTTTTCAATGCGGAAGTAAGCCGTTTTCTGTGAATGTGCGAGACTTCCGGTTCATTAGCCGCTTTAGGGAAATAACGAGAAGAATAACGTGCAGTAAATGGTAAAATTTTATGCACTACAAACCAGTGTGTTCATAATTAAGATAATACATTAAAATAATAAGGTACACTAGTTTGCAAAACAAGCTGTTTTGTACAGCTAAAAATAGCTGGAAGCGGATGAGACCGGAAGCCAGACATAAAATTTACAAATGGCTGCGCACACTCTTACGGGAAAAAAGGGTGGATACAGGAGTCCCTCAAAGGAAAATAAAAAGCAAGGAGTACACAAAGTTTGTATGATTGTAAACCGTGCTTAGTATGTTTTAAGAGAACTTCCTGCATGGGAAGTATACCAGTGAGAAATGTTGTTATTGCAAACATCTTGTGAATCAGAAAAGCCTTTGCTCTTTTCATTGGTAAAAAATATTTTTTCTAAAATGTAGTTACAAGCACATGTCCTTGAGGAAATAATGTTTGTTAAATTATGTCCTTTTCTGTCTTTTTAATGTTTTTTTTAAATGTCTTTTAAATTTGCCTTTCAAATTTGCTGTTTATATTCAAGGTTGGAAAGAGTGGCAACATCCCTGCTGGCACCACAGTTGACACCAAAATTACTCATCCATCCGAGTTTGACTTTTATCTTTGCAGTCATGCCGGAATTCAGGTACCATTGAATATTTCAAATAGAATACCAATGAAAGATCTATAAAGAATTCATAGATTTATTATATAAAGTGAGTGCATATGAATGCTTTATTCCTAGTTATCAGGTACCTAAAAGAATGGAGGTCAATTGGCTTTAGTGTTGATGATAATTATGCTTGTCTAGAGTGTGTGATTTCAGTTCTTCATAATTGCTGAATCTCCACAGGGTACCAGCAGGCCGTCCCACTACCACGTGCTGTGGGACGACAACCATTTCACCGCCATGCTGTTAGGTTTCCAATTGCCCATGTAGTCAATTTCCATACATACTAAATATCCATGATTTTTAGAACTGTAATATGTGAATTTTTAAAATGTATCTTTTTTTTTTTTTGGTTTGGTGGGCATGGTTATGTGTCTCTGTTGTACATGTGCATGTCAGATTAGAGGTTAACATGTTTACATAGTCAATCCAAAAATTCAAACTATTTTTACACTGAAAGTTACATTTGCTTGATTCAATACTGTCATCAAGGCTGGTGATGGAGACTGTTGAACAGTAGTTTTTACAAACTCATCAAACCAATGGGTTCGGGTTAGTTTAGGACAACACAGATCAGGTTTAGGGGTTGTAGGGATGCAGTTTCCACAGCTAAATTATTTATCAGCAAATGCAAGTGCACTGACCAGATGGGGACTTCAGGACAAAAGTAATAATCCTGTTTTGTTTCGTTTATTTGTGCTAATATGAATTTTTTATCGTGGTGTCATTTACTGTTCAGTCCATGGCTCAGTCATCCTACTGTACCAGTCCGCCAATGACATGACTGACTGCACACTATCCTGTGCTTATATCATGAAATTTGAACACAGTATGTGCAGAATCAAGAATGCATTTGGAAGTGAGAATATAGGAGTTGTTCTGACAATCAGTTTTCTGCCGCTCATATGAGACTGGTTCTCATCAGTGACTCCCTCCATTTACCTGTGCCAGAGTTCTCGGTGCAGAAACAGCTCTGTAATATGGATAATTGTCTTGAAAAGTACTAATATCTTGGGGCTCTAAGCATTTAGATGATGAGATTATCTTGTGCGTACTTTAAATTCCATGAGCATTTCTCTTTTTTTGTTTGCTGTGATTGTAACCTAAGGTTTCAGTGGGTTGAGTTTGAGTTAAATTTCAAAAACTCCCTTGAAGAAAAAAATGCCATCACTTTTCACTTTAAGCACCTGTTCTGAAATTTTCATTTTGATATTGTCAAAAATCTTCCCCACATTGAAACACAAAGCCAGTTTTGTGCTGAATATTGGGGAATCTGAAGCCCTGTGATTTGCTTGGTTCTGTGCGCTGTTTCCAACAGTGAAGTTTGACTGAACTATGCTGGGCATACAGGCAATCAAGAATTTTTTTTAAAGAATAGTACACATACAATTGCATTGACACAAAATCAGAGTGAAAATTTCATACAAATTCAAATGCACATTAGTGTTTTTTTTTATTTTTTTTTTTATTTTTTATTTTTAACCAAGAATCTTGTTTATGACGTAGAGATTTCCATGAGAATATTACAAATCCCTTTTTTAACACTCAAGGCACATTTTTCTTTAGATATTTAAACCTGAAACCTTGTGAAATCTAGTTTTTCTTTTAGAGACCTTTTGTAGAGTCACAGGGTTGGGCCATTAGGCGAGTGGTTGTTAGCTTTTTATTGCTTAACAAAATAGAAAAATGTATTTAGTTTGAATCCAAACTTATTTCAAATTGAAGGGCAATACATTGTATATGTGTTGGTAAACTGTTTTCATGTAAACAGTCTTATCCCTTCTAAAGCATATCAGGATGTGTAGCGATTGATTGAGTCTTGTTAGTTAATTAACTAAGATCGCTTCCCCAAATAATTCTATTAAATAATAATTCAATTTTAACTTGAAATTTGGAAAAAACAGGAATTTTTAACCATCTTTTTCTAACTATGCATTCTTAACCAAGAGATTTTAGTGGTATGTTTGTGTATATGAATTATAAATATAGAACATTTGTAATGTAGTCATTTTCATACTGGGTACTTTTAGTAGTGTAAATAGTGCAAACCCTGTACCCACTGTAGCAGTATTAGCTTACAAAATACTCTATTTTTATTATCAACAATTGGATGTTCTTTATATGGCTCTCAATTATTCCTGTTAGCTGAACAAGATTATGTACTTGTAGTTAATGTCCTACCATAACTGAAGCACAATAGGACATTATAATTGTAGGTGCTAGAGTTTATTCTTGAAACTACCATTTCTTTTAATATCTTGTTTAACTTCAGCTTTTAAACAAGAATCACAGACTGGTCAGAGAGCTTAATGAGAATGTTTGGTTTTTGATCTGGTGAAATCTATGACTTTGGACCCTGAAACCCTGACCCTCATTTTCTAAACCCAACAGACTGTGTATAAGGGGCATTTTAATTTATCTTCAAATACTTGACTAGAGTTATGTTGTTATTTGGCGCTGATCGTGTAACTCGTGACAGTAGATGCACTTTGAAGAGCAAGTGCTCATCTGGATCATGAGTATGTTATCTGGGTGCAGTTGTGTGGAAATTACTAGATGTCCTACCTCTCTTTAGAATATACAAGACTACTTTTATGGTGTGTGTGTGTGTGTGTGTGTGTGTGTGTGTTTTCCCATTCTCTCCTTCCACAATACAATCAGCTGTTGTTTTTAATAAGGGTATAAGGAATCTGATGCAAATGTTTGATTAAAGTAAGTCTATTCAAATATCCGTGAATGCAAATGTAATGGAGGCCAAGGATTAAGTACAGTGCTGGTTTTGTTGAGATTGTCACGTTATAATCTATGCTGCAGCATCTCTGTTTCAATTCTTAAGAGGCACATATAGTGTTAACTGAAAATTGAAATGGTGCCTCAATTTCCCTTGAATTATTTATCAATGTTATGCCATTAACTTTATGTATGTCTCTTGCGTCATCATTTCTAGACTATTGTCTTTTGCTGCTTGAGTAAAGCTTGTATATTGCTTGGTGAAGTATCTTTCCAGCTCTGTGTGGGGTTACAGTGTCCTCTTCGCTTTACACCTTATGGTTTGAATAAAACTAGTCAATTTAGGTTAGATTCTTAGCTGGTGCCCCGATTACTTTCAGATTTTATTTTCAGAAACCTTTTTTTATTCAAGCCAGACAAAAATGCCAGTCTCATCAAAAGAATTTTGCCCCTAGCTTGGTGATCAGAGGTGGTCTTTTAACTAGATATATTACTAATGTATTTGCATTAGAACTTTTGCACTATAGTGTTCTGAAACAGAAATGTAAGCCTACATACCATGGTAGTTTTGTTACTGTACTTACTGCTTTTTAAGTCCTAAGGTGGCAAGTTTCAAAGATGCTACCTTATGACCTGCTAAAACCATGAGGATAAATCGAACAGTTTGAATGTACTTCATACACCTGCATACTGGTTAAGAACATCACATTATTTTCATCTGTTTGCTCCACTTTGTTTTATGCATGCACGTTTAAAGCAGCATTGAATCATTGGGCTTATATCCATGCATATTTCAAACTGTATCTCACCATTCATGGTTGTGATGTACTAAATTATCAGATATGGGCAGCTTATTCAGAATACACACTGGCACAAAGATCCTTGTATCGCTGACGTTTGTGGTGCTGTACTGTAAAAAGTGTACATAAGGCAATGTTTTGGTGTTTCGTGTTTTTTGCCATGTACTGCTTGTATGTTTGCCGGAATTTCCAACTCGAGTTTCATACAAAGGGTTTTTGAGCTATACTATAACACCCATGTTCATATATCAACCCAATAAGCCAAATTGACTTTCATTGAAGCCCTTTTGCTTTACCAGCAAACACTCTGTGGTGGTCCCATAATCATGACAGTGGTACTTGCTGAGCCTCAGTTCATTGTGTGCACAAACTAAACCTCTACTCAGTTTCATCAGGCCAGTTGCCATTCAGCTAGTTGTTTTATTGGGGTATGATGGCATACAAGTGTTTCAAAACACTTTTAGGATTTTTCCCCCCTTCTAAGTCCTAAACTAGTTTTAAAACTAGTCTGAAATTACCAAAATTGAAGCTTGTTGTGAGGGATAAAAATATTGCAAAGTATTGTTAAAAAAGAGCACAGTTCCATTAGTTCATTACATGCAAACATGTTATTTATTCAAATATGAGCATGCATGTAAGATGAAAATGGGGTCTTGAGACTGATTTATTGGAATAATTGAGAGCTTCGTCATAACCTGGCTTTTTAAACCAACTTTGAAAAACTACCTCAATAGTGTCAGGTGCTAACATTAAAATATCCCTTATACATATATGTATATGTGGTCATGACAAAAAACAACAATTGTGACCAAACAACACAAGCCTATACTGTGTATTAAGTGTTTAGTTGTCTTTCACTCTCTCTTTTTTTTTTTTTGTTTTTGTTTTTGTTTGTTTTTATTAAGCGATTTAAAAAATTTGTATGGTGGATCAACGTGAGGGATGTTTCAGCATGTAACAAAATTGCAGGGGACCAAAATAAATATGATTTGAAAGTTTCCCTTTTTAAAATGTAGTGATAAATACTCATCAGCTTTTAGAGGTTCATTAAAATCATTTTCCACTGTAGCTTGTGAGTGGAAATGGAGCTGGTCTCAGATCCTCTGGTTGTATCTATGGAGAACAAATCAGAGTTCAGGCCAAGATAATTGCCAAAACATGGTGGTTGAGTTGGTGTAGTTCTTTTCTGGACCTGGACTGAGTTGAGTTCATCTGTTCTGTGGCAGTGTCATCCTCATGTCCATCACTAGCATTGTGCCATATTATGGATAACATACTGGACATAAAAACGTCCAATGACCACTGCTCTGTGTTTAATGAATGTTCGGGGAAACTGACAACATTTTCTTATGAAGCAGCTTGTCAACCCGTTTCAAATGGCAATTTAATCATCATTGAGCTTTACTGTCTTTGGAGTGCTAGCACTCTACTTGATTCTGCTACTTGATTTATATCCAGTATTGCAATAAAGATGTTTTCGCACTCATTAGATCCTGATCTGTTTGATGAAAGTTCCATGACAAGTCTGCGATAAGCTATTTGTATTTGAACGTTGTCATGTATGACTTCGGAGTGCTATTCATTGCAATTGACGTGTATTTACCTTGCTACATTTTATGAAGGGAATTCAATTTGGATCTGATGTCTCTCAGACTCTGATTGAGGATGTATAAACATCCGAATACACTGACATTTGAGTTTCTTGAGAGAGAAATATTAAGGTACAAAAAGGTTGTATGGAAATCATTCAGATTCTTGTTTTTCATCTGCGAGCTTAAAAACGTCCAGCGTGTATTTGTTGTGTATGTGTGCCTTTTTAAAATCTCTCCCACCCCTGATCAAGGGACTATCCTTTTAATTTGTTACTCAGCGCCACATTGAATAATTTGTACATTTATCATGCAACCTTGAGTGAATGCTGCATAGAATGATCAGTATTTGTATTTTGCACTTTCTAAGCAGTTTTAAAGGATGCCCTGTTGTAACTGGGTGCACAGACTAAGACTATTTAAGACGAGGTATTTTCTGCTACGATAGGAATTCTAAGGAACAATATGACTTGTTGGTCTTTTCGAAAATAAAGTGTATAGATGTGAAGTACCTCATAAGCCTGATAAATGCTGCATAAACTTCATTTATTGTTCTTTTGTGAACCTCATTTCAAACATTTTCCCCTATAGGGAGGTTTGATGCCCACAAGCTGTACAAGGACCTTCAGAATTATGTGATTGACCAGAGCCGCTATTTAAAAGATTACTAGTGATTTTCAGTCATATTCACTGACATGATACAATATTACTGAGCCTCTAGCTTTAGCATTGCTCTGTTGATCACGACCATTAGATATGTAGTGACGTCTTGCAGTCAAAAGTTACAGTTGACTCAGGTATTGCCATTAAGGGCTGTATCTGCTATTGCCTCTCGTCCTCAATCCCCCTCACCTGTGTCTTAATGTAGCCTTAGAACTGCATTTATGGATGGAACATAATAAAGACTACCTGGCCTTAAAAGATGCAGTATTTAACCACAACATGCAAGTCACTACAAATCAGGCCATACGTTTGTGCCATAAAACTACCTCCTGAGAATGTAGGAGTATCCTGGAACTGACAGATGGCTTTTTTCTTTTTGGCCTCCAACTCAAACTTGTACTGTGTAAGTTGACAATCATCTTTTTCTTTTCTTTTTC